CCTTCGCCGGCCTTGACTCAACGCTGTTTCAGTGACGATTAAACCCTCAGAGCTTCAGCAGAAAAGAAAATCTAACAAACGGAGTGGCTGAGCGAGGGCTCTGCTCTTTGTGAGGGAGATAAAGCTTCAAGAAAAATGAGGCAGGGTTTGTTAAACATCATGCATCAGCTTAGTTGGTGCGTCTTGTTTAAAAGGTCAACGTGCATCGAGTTAAACGACCAGAAACCACACTCGTGGTGTTTGAGCTGAGACAAATCAGGGATCTTCCTGGAACAAAATTAGGTTTTGATGCTTCTTAAACATAAATAAGAGCTCAAGCCGCAACTTTGTTACAATGAAGGTCACGACATCCCGACTCAGGATGGAATTAAGCTAAATTATTAAATGAAATAAAGAAATAAAAATGAGGATGAGCTGATGATTTATCTCTGGCTGCAGCTTCTTTCTGCCCTCTGCTGTCCGACTGAAGAACAAGATGCAACAGGTGTGCAGATTTCATGTACCTGCACAGGTAGGTGAGACTGTAGCATCATGGGAGAATGATTATATTATAACAATAATAATAATTGTGTTTATGAATTGTGTTGTTCTGTAATTTTGTACATAACATGTCTGTAACTGTAACTTCTGTAACTGTAACTTTTGCTGCCTTTTGGCCAGGACTCCCTTGAAAATGAGGTTTTTATTCTCAGTTGGACCTTCCTGGTTAAATAAATAAATAAATAAATCTGGGTTATTTTATCATTTGCAGAAATAAAAATAAAGTTAAAAAACAGTTGCTGAAGTTATATTTCCAGCGTAACTGTAGCAAAAGCTTTACATCTTCATAAATGTATGGGTAGATGTGAGCTGACCTCAGTTATTTTGCTTTGTAGACAAGTTTGAGTCAAATCAGATAAATTCGGGGGGGTCAGCATGTTTTGACAATTTCTATTTTGTGAATTTGTGGCCGAGAAGTTTGGGAACCAAAAACCAACATTAGCATTAAACTATTAAAACAAAATATAAAGTTTATCTATGACTTATATTTTTATAATTACTATTTTCATTATTATTATTGTTATTATTATTATTATTATTATTATTATTATTGTTATTGTTGTTGTTGTTGTTGTTATTATTAGACATTAACCAGTTTTGTTTAGCTACTTTTGAAACATTTATTATATTCGTCTCGTTGTCTTCCGCCTATCCGGGTCGTGGGGGCAGCATCCCAACTAGGCAATCTAGACCATCCTCTCTTCGGCCACCTCCACCAGCTCCTGCAGCAGGACCCCGAGGCGTTCCGGGGTCAGTTCGGAGATGTACTTTCTCCAACGTGTCCTGGGTCGACCAGTGGGCTTCCTGCCGACAGGACATGCCTGAGACACCTCCCTGGGGAGGCGTCCTAACAAGATGCCCAAACCACGTTAAATGACTCCTCTCGATGTGGAGGAGCAGCGGCTCTACTTTGAGTCTCTCCCGAATGTCCAAGCTCACCCTCTCCCTAAGGCTGAGCCCAGCCACAGGAACTGCCCCCGATGACCACGCAATGTTGCAGAGACGTGTCATAAGACAGTCCTACAACATCCAAAACCTTGAGATACCCAGGTCGGATCTCATCCACCACAGGGCTCTGCCGCTGCTCAGCGACATCTGCCCCAGAGACAGGACAGTCCATCCCCAGGTCTCCTAGCTCTGGTTCCTCCTAAGAATTTCAGTTAGAACATTCTGGTAGTGTTAATTAAAGAGCAAGTCACCCCCAAATCGACCTTTTTTTTGCTGATAAACTATAAAAATGAGAGTCTAATCATGCTGCAGACACGTGTGGTCAACAATTTGGCACTTTAGTGCATCTTAGTTAAAATTCACCGATTCTGCCTAAACTACACTATGATGTTGGCTGGTACATTATGATGTCACAATGTGTGTGTGTGTGTTAGCCAAGAAACAGCATTTGTTGCATTTCTCAAACAGGAAGTGGGAGTGGATTAAGACTTAGGGGTGACTTGCTCCTGAAACAATTAAATATAATTAATAATCAATTTATTATTGATGAATTTTGGTGATTTCAACCAGCTAATTTGCTTTTCTCTGAAAAATAGATGAAAAAAAGAAAAACAGGACAAGATTCATTCGCTTATGGATGTATTTTAATAAAAATAATTCTGTCAAAATTAAACAGAATACAATATTTCTTTTTAAACATGTTTTCTTTACTTTTTCAGTTATCATTTTTCCTTTTTTTAAAATCATTTTAAAGGTTTTAAAAGTCATGCTAAGTAGAGGGTAACGCATTTCACAACATTATTTTACATTTTTATATTCTATTAAAACTCAAAAGTCAAAATATGAAATTAAAATCATGATAAAAATCATTTTGTGCACAGCTGGTCTAAATCAGTTTCTCTCGGGGAGAAATTCACAAAGTCTGAAGGATTGTTTGCTTCCTGATGGCCTTGAAGGGGACGCCGGTGACACTCTGAGACACTGAGGACAGCTGGGACATTTTACATGTGAGTAACAGGTTTCAGGCGAGCGTAACAGAGGTCATTTACAGCTGAAGACACCGAGGATCCGACGGTTTGCTGATCTTCAGGAGGATCTGGTTTAAAATCTCCTTCTTGGACCGAAGGTCAAGAGCAGAAATGTACACTTGTGTGGGTCTTTGATTCTCTTTCAACACATTTGACAACAACCAGCTATTTGGTAAAAAAAAAATAAAAAATAAAAAAAGTTCAGTGTTAACAGAGCAAAACAAGTCGTTAAACTTCTGCCAACAACGCAAAAGGAAAAGCAAGAGGAGTCGGCTGGATTTGTTCAGAAAAAGGCGGTCTGCTGCAGAACGAGCTGCTATAACATTAAACACCAGAGGAGTCGACACACATCTTCAAATAAAACTAAACGTGACTGAAGAGGGTGAAATCAGACGGACGCAGCCTGCAGGCCAGAAAACTGCAGCCTGCTATACCCGCGGAGGCCAGCAGGGGGACGCGGACACGTTATTAATATTAGCAGTTATCATGGACGTAATTTTCACTTTAGAAGTGGGGGGAGACGGGGGGGGGGGGGGGGGGGGGATCTTTACAGTATGCTCTAATGGGAAACAGGCTTCAACACAAACAGTTGTTTTCTGCTTGGTCCTAGAGCTCAACCAGTGTCAATTTAATATAGCGTTTCATTGTTTTTGGATGGTAAAAAGTGCAGGGGTGAAAACTTGACTTTGGAAAAAGTGTGTGTGTGTGTGTGTGGGGGGGGGGGGCATGTCCCCCTTGCCCCCCCCCCCCCCCCCCCCCCAAAAAAAAATAAATCACGTCCATGGTCGTCATGGCCGGTAAGGTTTTATTCTGACTGGAGAAACTTTCTCAGGTTTGTTTGTTTCTTTTTTCCCGATTCTAGCAACAAAAACTCCAAACAGGAAGAAAGGAACGGAAAAGTCCTGACTGCTTCCATCCCTCAGAAACGATCTCTATAAACCCACTGAATGAAAAATAAATTTTAAAAAAATGTTTGTTTTTTTATTTGATAGAAAACAACAAAAAAGGAACGGACAACACGGTTGTTTTCAGAATTTTAGGAATAACGATGGGATTTGGAGGAAAAATAAACATTTTCATCATTTTCATGGAAACTGTTCTTTAGTGAGCAGAAAGTAACTGAAACAACAAAAAAGTCCGTCTTGACTCTGGATTTGAATAAATATTAAAGTGATGAGAAAACCTATGAATCCTGCTGAAGCGCCTCTCTCATCCGTAAGAGTGTTTGGATCTGACAGGAAGTGGATTGTGGTGGTTCTGACTGAACTTCCCATGGACGTAATTTTCACTTTAGAAGTGGGGGGGACACGGGGTGGGGGGTGGGGGGGTCTTTACAGGCTTCAACACAAACGGTTGCTTTCCGCTTGGTCCTACAGCTCAACCAGTGTCAATTTAATATAGTGTAATATTGTTTTTGGATGGTAAAAAGTGCAGGAGTCAAAACTTGACTTTGGAAAAAGTGGGGGGGACATGTCCCCCTGTCCCCCCCCAAAATTACGTCCATGGAACTTCCTAACGCGTGCGAGGTCTGCGGCAGTCCTCGGCTTCACCTGCAGAGTGAAAAACAACTTTTGTGTTCAGTCGTCTCTTTGCACGTGTTGTGCCGAAGGCTGGAAGGATTTTCACGGCCTCGGAGCTCGGTTTGGAATCAGAACCGAGGAAAGGCTGCGGTTTAATCATCACCAAGTGCAACCTGAAATTACAGCCCTCCCTGTTTGTCACATGATTTCACCTCTTTATTTGAAATTCTAGTTGAAGCTGCGTGTGCGCCCAGCGGGTCGGGCTGTAGAGGCAGGGGGGGGGGGGGGCTGCGGTAATGAAATCTCCAGAAGAGACCTGACTTTTAGACATACACACACTGTGCTTGTTAGTCTGCCTTTGATACTGATTTTCTTTATGCTGGCACCGAGATGATAATAGTGTTAGACCGGGCCCTGAAGGCAGGTGTCGTAGGTGCAGCCGGGGCTGAGCTCTGCCACCTGCAACCACATCGCTGATTGGTCCACGCTGCCGCTGCTACAGGGAAATGAAGGCTCCAACACCTCTTTCCTGGTTAGCGTTTGCCACCGCGAGGACCTTCAATTATGTTTTTCTACATGTGCTTTCCAGGAAGTCTGCTGTTCTTTGGTGAACAACCCAACTTTTCCTCGGAAACAAAAGCTCTGAGGCCAGGCCTGCAGCTAATGAGGCGCTCCACACAATAACAGGTGTTGTTGGTGCCGAGCTCAACCCCCTCCTGCATATTCCTGTCCTTAACTCGCCTCGGGTTTGGACTGAAATGGCCTACAGGTGTGAGGATTGCCATGGAAACCATCCGATTGTGTCGTGTGATATGGAGAACAAAAGCAACAATACTGATGGTAATGGAAACCCGCCCGATAAAGCGGAGGAAACGATAAAAATAGGAAAGAGGATGAGCACAACAACCGGACAAACATAAGAAAAATAAGCTAAATAAACATAATAATAATAATAATCTTTAAA